CACCCTGCATCCTTGTGCAGTCAAGCCGGCGGCATCGCGCTCGAGCTGGCTGGAAGCTGCGCCCTCCCCGGGTGCAGAGGCCATCTGAGCTGAAGGGCGGAGACAGCATTCGTTGCCATGCTACGCACGTCTACATACGATGGTACATTTCAGACCCAATGATTTCTGATATTGTCCGAGCATGTCAGCTTCGGAGCACTGCTCTACTCCCAATTTTGTTTTGGTCACATTTTGAGGAGCACTTTTTGAACACTATTGCTATCATGTGCTATACCAACTCCATTTGTGCAAAAGCTACCTTTTGACACCCGTGCAATAGCTACCGTCCATCTCAGAGCTACCTCCAATGCAGGCTGCTAAATGACTGTTCTTGGGCAGGTTGCCAGGCACAGGTGCAGGCTGTACCCCCCCACGTCAATTGCCGACTCCACGGCCTTTAGATCATTAGCATACAGTTGGCTGGCAGCAAATCCACCCATCGCCTGCAACACTTGGGGCATCATGTGCGTGCGATGGACGTGCAATTCATTGGCCCCTGCGGCGTGCCAATGACTGCATCCCAGGAGGGAGCCGCTGCGAAAACGGCATGCAGGTGGCCCGCCCTCAGCTGCAGGATTCTGGGGCCATATTGGACGCTGCTGTGTTGAGTCGCAGAGCAACTTGTGCGGACCGGTTTGAATATCCGCTGCGCGGCCATCTTGCGGTGGAGCCGGCGGGGCGGCTCGAGCCGCCGAGCCGCGGCGGCGGCGGCAGCAATGGTGGCGCACTGCGCCCCCGGTCCAAGCGCTGCCTGGGTGCGGGGTTCCTGCTGCGACTCCCAAGCCTGAGCGACGCGAATGGTATGAGAAGCATTCTGAACCCCAGCAAGGGGACTGCGCTGTCCGCCTTCTCGGATAGGCCATCCAGCACGATCAGATGACATGCATCCAGGATTGAATGCTCAAGAGAGCACAGCAAGCTTGCAGGCTGTGCTCCCCTTTCTAAAGGCAAACTTGCTACAGCACGCCTCATTCCTCCATCGATTACTGCCACGCCGTCCCCGATCGCGATTTGCGGCAAGGGGAACAAGCTGCTACTGCTCACCAGGGTGGCTCAGGCCCCGCGCTGGTCGCTCGCACCCCGCTTTCACACCCGCCCAGCATGGCTGGGGCCAGGCTGCGCGTGGCACGGCGGCAACGCCAGGGTACCAGCTGGATGCGCTTGCTGGTGATTGGCATCTTGGCGGTGGTGGGCGGCGCGGTGCTGTGGAACGGGCTGCAGTATAGCTCGGCGCACGACCACTCTGCTGGGGAGCTGCGCCGCTCCACAGAGCAGGTGGGTGGCCGTGCACAGGCCTGGAGCGCCAGCAGCCCGCCTGGAGCGGGTGGGAGGCGGACGCTGAGCGCGCCCAGCTCCCTGCCGTCTGGACTTTACTGCTGCCGCCGGCCGGGCTCACCGCACTGGTGTGCCCCGGTGCAGGCTGGAGAGGGCGCGGACCAGGGTAGCACGTCGAAAAGCGAAACCAGCATGGATGCCTGGACACAGCTCACAGAGCTGCCTGGCACGTCGAGCGGCGACGGCGGCGCGCAAGCGGGCAGCAGCAGCAGCAGCAGCGGAGGCAGCCAGCAGCGCAAGAAGGACGATGCAGGCCAGCTGAAGGAGGGGGAGACGTTCCTAACGGTCAAGCTGCGGGTCCCCAAGGTGCTGCCTGGGTGCTGGGTGCTGCTGGGTGCTGGGTGGGCCCTGATTGAGCTGGAGCGCCGCCGTGGCTGCATGCCGCTCGTCCTTCCTCCATGCCACTGCGCTCCCGCCACGACCCCCCGCTGCCTGCCTGCCGGCCTCCCTCTCCGCCCACCACCACCACACACGCACACCAGCCCGACCCTGCACAACACGACGCCCCCTCTTCGTGCAGATGCCCCCGACCTTCAACAGCTGGGTGCAGACCGAGGACATGCTGCTCTTCCACCTGCGCTCCCTGCAGCAGCAGCTGGAGCAGACGTATGTGGCCATGGCGCTGGCCGCCGCCACGGGGCGCACCTTTGTGCTGCCAGAGGCAAGGCGGCCGCTGCGGGGCCTGCCATCCGCTGCCGACCGCTGCCGCTGCTTCCCCTCGCATGCTTACACGCCCCGGCTCGCTCTGCCTCGCCCCTGAACAGTCCCTGGGCCCCACACTCCCACACACCAACCCAAACCTCCCACCTCCCGGCCCCCCGCCGCAGTTCTCCTGCTTCTGCCAGAACTCTGACGCGCCGCTGCCGCGCTGCCGGCGCCCCGACAGCGAGAAGCTGCAGTTCCCCGCGGCCTGCCGCGAGGGCGAGGTGCTGGTGCTGCCGCCCGACTTTGCGGCGGAGCCGGGGGCGCGTGGCATGGCGCTGGAGGTGCGGCCCCCGAGCCTCATGCAGGCACTGGAGGCGGCGGGCGGCCAGGTGCGCGGCAGCATCCCCCCCGGGCCTTCCCTGCTGCCGCCATGAGCGCCGCGCCCGCAGTGCTTTGCGTGGTTGGGCGCGGGGAGGCTGGCGGGGCCGGAGTCGGGTGGTGCACGCCGGCGTGGCAGCACCCTGGCGCGACCCGGCACCGTGCCCTGGCGCTGACCGGTGGTGGTGTGTGCAGGATGCCGAGCTGGTTGTGCGGCCCAGCGCCCAGATCCTGTTCCCCAAGTGCAAGGAGCTGCCGCCCAACCCCGACCCGGCGGCTGCCAGCGCCGAGGCCTGCGTTCGGCCCAGCACCCGGGAGGGGGAGGCCGAGGGCGTGCTGCTGGTGCCGCCCTCGCTGAACGACACCGACCTGCTGCCGCTGGTGGCGCCCCTGCAAAAGTACCGCCTGTGGCGCCTGGACCTGTCCGACATCGGCAGCCACTGGCACGCCTTCCAGGGCTGGGACTGCGCGGGTGGGCGCGCTGGCGGCGGCCGGGTGGAGGCGGGGGTGGTGGTGGTGGCGAACCGTGGGTGGCGAGACGGGCTGTGCTTGCTCATGAGCTGGCCCTGCCATCCCAACCCATTGATCGCATGCTGTATGTTGAGTCGCTCGGACGCCGGATCGCTCATTCTTCTGTGCGCTGATTCCCTTGTGCCCAACCGCAGAGCCGGCCCACCAGTTTGACCGGCGCATGAGCAACGTGGTCAAGCCGTGGCCCTCGCCAGAGGCGGCGGCAGCGGCGGCAGGAGGCGAGGCCGCTGGTGGCGGCGCGGCGGCAAAGGTGAACCTCAAGATGACCTTTGGCCGCGTGTACTCGGATGAGCCGGACATGAAGCAGGAGTGTGGCGGCAGCGAAGGAGGCGCCGGCGCGGCTGCCGGGGCGGCGACAGCGGCGGCGAGCAGGCGATGAACCCAGACGCGATCGCCAGCTGGGCTGGCAATCGCTGGCACCGGCATGGCTGTAAGTGCTATCCAAATGGTTGCAGAACACCCGGCAGCCAGGTTGTGCACGCTACGCTACGTATACGCCCCGGGGGCGGTGTTGGCCAGAGGAGCAGCCAGCCGCGCATGGTGGCTGGATGAGCAGTCCTGCTCAGATGCAGAATCAGCCTGAAGGGAGTGTGCCTGGCTTAGGAGCAGGTGATGTAGGGCTGAACCCTTCAGACCCCTGTGGCTGTTAGGGTTTGTCGCCGCGGCGCCAGTGGTTGCAACTGCCCCCTGACTTCTGGGACACGCCCCTCCGTACGTGCCAAGCTCGTTTCCTTCCGTTCCATCTCCTTCGGCACGAGGCGACCTGACTGAGTTCAGCAGTGGAGCGTATTATCCGTCCGCAACTTGCGGCCGTGAAAAGCCGGGCGGCCGCCCTGCTTTCTCCCAGCACCATGCGCGCTTCATGGGCGGTCGAAGCTAGCTTTCGCGGTGTTAGGCGCCGTGGCACGCACTGGCACGCCCAGCAGAGGCTCATCGCACTGCCTGGACGTTGGCTAGCGAGCACTTGGGGGGGAGGCGCACTAGGCCCGCCTCGCCCGACCAGGGGCCCAATCAGGGGCACAGGGCCCCGGCAGGAGTCAGAGAGGGGCCGCCAGCCGTGCAGGGAATATGGCTGTCACGCCTGAGGCCACCGCCGGCGGGACGCGCCCGGGACAGCGGCAGCAGACGGCCGCTGGCCCGCAGCAGCACGCTGCAGATGTGGAGGCAGCCTTCAGCCTGAGCTGTGCGCGCCGGTGGGCAGAGTGCGACCGCACCTGCAGCGTCGCGCTGACCGCGGTCAACGCCCTCTGCCTGCCCGCCCGGCTGCGCCAGGGGCCGCCCCTCCGCGCCGCCGCCGTCGCCGCGGCCCTGCACGCGGCGCTGGCCCTGCCCGGCCTGCTGGCCTGGCTGGCCAGGGGCTGGTACCTGCCCCGCCGCACTGCCGTCGTGACAGCCTGCCTGCTGGCCAGCTGGGTGCTGGTGGAGGCGCCGCAGCCGGCCACCCTGTCCCAAGCCCACTACCTCCCGCTCCTCTGGCCCAAGTTCCTGGCTGTGTCTCAGTGCCTGGGCCTCAGCCTGCTCACCATGTCCTTCCGCCTGCCCTTCCAGGCACGCGCAGGCGGCCATGCAAGCACCGCGCGGCATGCCACCCTGCAGGGGTGGGGGTCTGCATCGGTAGCTGGACGAGGTGGCCTGCCCGCATGGCATTGTGGCCATACCGTGGGTGGCACCCGTTGCCACCACCCACCACCCCTGCCTCCCAACTCTGCCCCGACACCACCCGCACCCCCCTGCTGCCTGCCTGCAGGCCTTCCTTTGGGTCCAGCTGGCGGGCGGCGCCACCAGCGCCTGGCGAGCGGTCGCCACGCTCTGCCGCTACCCCGCCTTCTCCTCCTGCGCCGCCCAGCGCAGCTTCGCCGCCGCCGCGCGCCTGGCGACCGCGTTGTCGGGCGTGCTGTCGCCGCTGGGCGGCCTGCTGCCCCTTGACTGCTGTGCGGCTCCGGAAGGTGAGCGCTGGGCCAGGCGTGGGCCCAGCACCGGGAGACAGCTGGTCTGTGCTGGCGAGATGGTGCCATTGTTCAGGGGGAAGCGCGGCCCAGCTGCGTGGCCGACTTGGACCTCAGCCTGCCTGCGTGCCTAAGTGCCTCAAAAGTGCCCCTGTCTTGCCTGCAGAGTGCGCTGCCGGGGCTGCTGCGGCGGGGGCGTCTGCCAGCGGCGCCTGCTCCTGCATCCAGTGGGCCCTCTTCCTGCTGCTCGCCGTGGGGCTGGGCCTGCCCGTCGCCGCCCACTACCTCATCCGCCTGGCCGGCAAGCGCAAGTTTGTGCGCAGGTGAGGCGGGCAGGCCGCAGCGGCAGCCGGGGAGGGCAGCCGAGGGCTGCAGCTCGGGCACAGCTGAGCGCCAAGCACGCTGGCGCCCGCTGCCCCTCCAGCTGCTTGCTGCTGCAGAAGCCGCGCACTGCCTGCCCTTGTCTTGACAGGGTTGCCCATGCTGTGTGTCCCTCCCTGCAGCTTCTGCACGCGCCGCGCCTGCGCCAGCTGTGCGCCCGCAAAGGGTGCTGACCTGGCGGTGCAGGCCGCCGTGGCCGCCCTCCTGCTCCTTGGCTTCTCTGCCGCCTCCTGGCAGCTGACCAGCGTGCTGTGCATTCAGTGATCTTCTCATAAAGGGTCGTGTGCTCACACAGCCCACAGCTGGATTGGGTAGGGCACGCCTCACGTGATACGAGCTGCCAAGCAGTGCCCACCTGCTCACACCGGCACTGCCGCGATGGCTGCCAGCCAACCCCTATCTTTTCAACCACACAGTGGCCCCCCCTTGTCTACACCGACCCCATCAACGCACCTCCCATCATCACGCCAGCCTTGCTCACCCACCCTTTTCCCTTCAGATTTCATCCCCCCTCCTAAAAGCGCAGCCTTCTGAGTTACGCTGCTATCGCCTGTCAGCACTTCATTGTTTTTCAAATTGGTTCATGGCGGGTTTGCCATCAAAGATATACAACTGTCTTATTTTTTCGGTTCAGTTGCTGCAATACGAGTTCAATCCCGGGAGCGGAGGAGAGCTGGGACGTGGACAGAAGGGGGAGGTGCGCAAGGGGGAGCGATGCTAAAATCTCAGTACATGGCTGGCGCAAAGGAGGGACTGCAACAGGGTAGGACAGGGCGCAATACGCTAGGCAGAGAAGCAGGTAGGGAGGGAGCCGGCGGCTATCGCCGGCTGGGTACAGAGCAGGAGGAATGGGGTAGGGGCACGAGCGCGGGCGCTGAGCCACTGCAGGGCGCAGGAGCCGGCCCCCTAGTGCTGCTGCCCCGCAGAGGCCACGGGCTGCGGCGGCATGAACAGCAGGGCCGGCACGGCGTTGTTGCCGTTGCTGTGGGCGTGGCGCTTGGGGAGGTCGCCGGGCACGCCGCCATGCTGCGCCTGCTGCGCGCGGCGGGCCTGGCGCTGGCAGTGCGCGCCCACGCTCTCCCGCACATTGCTCTCGATGGTGCGGCAGATGGTCTCCAGGGGCAGGATGGAGAAGGGCTCCTCGATGCTCACCCCAATCTCCTCGATGCCTGCACAGGCAGGTAGCAGGTGGCAGGGCAGGAGGTCAGTGCTGGATGTCAGCTGTGCTGCGCGAGGCAGGGGCTGTCAGCCTCCTCCAGCTGGCTGCGCTCGCAGCCATGTGCGCGCAGCACACACGCAGGCAGGGAAACGCGCGCCGGCACCGCCTCACCCAGCAGCACAAAGGCGACGATGGCCATGACGGGCAGCATGGCCCAGCCGCAGGTGTCCCACAGCGCAAAGGGCAGGATGGTCAGCCAGGCCATCATGAAGCGCGAGGTGTGGCTGCGGGGCGACGAGGGGGGCAGGGAAGAGAGAGGCAGGCCGAGGAGGGCAAGGTGAGCAGGGGTGTGCCAAGTGCAGCTGGCAAGCGGTTTGCACTCCGGGGTGCTTTGCCACCCAACCCACGAGCCGACCCTGCCCGTGGCGCTCACCGGGTGTAGGCCAGAGGGATGGGGGTGCGCAGCAGGCGCTCGCACCCGCCCGTCACATCCTGCGCACACGAGTGGTGGGGCGAGGGGTGGCGGGTGAGGGGTGGTGGAGGCCCGGCTCAGCCTGTTTTCTGCTTGCTATTGCTGTAGGCCGGCTGCCTGGCCGTATCCCCGCCCCAGCGCCGGCTGCCGGCGTGTGGCGGCCCTCTTGCAGCAGCGGCGGCGGCCACATCAGCCACGGCAGCCACAGGCGCACCTCGAACACCGTCAGGTTTTCGTCCATGCGGTACGCAGCCCCCGCGGGCACGCACCCCGTGCTGTCGGTGGGACTGGTCACCGCCGCGGGCAGCTGCGCCTCACGCAGTACCTCCGTCAGTACCTGCAGAGAGGAGGGCAGCCAGGGAGCCCGTGAGGAGGGGCGGGAGCAGCCCTCATGTCAGCGAGCGCCGCGGGGCCCCGCGCCGCCCGGCAGCAACGGCAAGCAAGAGAGGCGCGCCGCGTCGCTGGCCGCCCGCGTGCGCCACCAGGCAGGCAGGCAGGCAGGCAGGCAGCAGGCAGGCAGGCAGCAGGCAGGCAGGCAGGGGAGCGCACGCTGCACCAGCCCACCTGGCAGCAGTAGTTGGGGCGGTGTTCGGCAGCCAGCAGCTCGGCCACCTCCTCAGGCAGCAGCACACCCCTCAGCTCTGCCTCCAGGTCCTCGCCCTCACGCAGGTGGCACATCAGGCAGCGGCTGCAAGGGCAGAAAACAAGGCAGGAGGGCAGGCAGAACACGGTGAGCCGGGTGGCAGCAGACATCAGCAGGCAATCAGGCAGCGCGGCGCGACTGGCGGCCGCTGCCTGCGTCCAGCACACCAGCGCAGCGCGCTGATCGCACCGCCCTGCCGCGGCAGCACCGCGCATGCCCCCTGACGCCGAGCCGCGCGCCTCACCTGTAGGCCACAACCCAGCGGCACAGCATGCTCTGCAGTTCGGCCTGGTGGGCAGGGATGTAGCCCAGCGCCTGCCGGGTCAGGTCGCGGCTGCGGTTCACCACCAGGCCCCACATCTTGCGCGCCTCATCCCACCGCCCGTAGCTGGAGTTGGTGCTGCGGTACGGAAGGGCAGTACAGACCGGCAGGGCTGAGCCGAAATACGCGGCCGGGCTGGGCAGCTGGAAGCTTGCTGGGAAGCTTGCTGGGGGGCTCGCTGGGGAGCTTGCTGGGGGCAGGGCATGAATCAGCACGTGAGGGGTTCGCGGAAGGAGGCGCGCCGGCGGGGCTCACCGGAAGACGAGGAGCAGGGAGAGGGCAAAGGAGGTGAGGCCGAAGGGCGCGTTGGCGGCCAGCTTGAGGACAGGCCACAGCGGCAGCCAGCCGGCCTGCCGTGGGGGGAGCAGCAGGGCAAGGGTGTTGTCAAGGGCAGCCCTGAATGTAGACCGGCAGTACGCTGCCGCAGCCGCTGCATGCTGCGCGTGCCAAAGCTCATTGATGAAAGGAGCCCAGACAGACAGGCGGGCAGGCAGGCGGGCAGGCGCTCACCGCTGCCGCCACGTGGTATGCCGCCACCCCCAGCGACACCGCCATGACGTAAGCCAGCGGCTGCGCCAGCCCCTGCGCCTGCAGGCAGGCAGACGGGCCGAGGCAGCCCAGGGGCGTGAGACGGCGGCGCAGGCTGTGGCGGAGGCTGCTGGGAGAGAGGGGCAGAGGCATGAGCTGGCCAAGCAAGTGCGAGGCGCTGTACGGTGGTGAGCCCACACAGCGTGCAGCCAATGCACGGCGTCGGCAGGGCGGCCTCTGTTTTCTTTCTTACCGTGTTGGACTGAGCCAGGCCGGCCATGTGGCGCCAGAAGCGGCTGGAGCTGCGGTGCGTCCTCCACCGCTCAAAGTCAAAGGTCTGCAGGGAGGGAGGGAGGGACGGGGTCGGGAGGGGCGTGGTGTGGTCTGTGGTTGTGGGGAGGCGAGGCAGCGGGGCAAAGGCTGTGTGGTAGGGTTGTTCGGCTTGAGGAGCGGCTTGTGTAATGCCAGACTGGCAGAGAATCTCGGGACGCCCTGGACCTACCACCACCTGGCTGCTCGCTGGCCTCGCCATGTGGCGAGGGGGCGGCGGCTAGGGCTTGGGGCTGGCCGCGCCCCAGCGCCCCAGCGGCGGCGGCGGGCGGCGGCGCACTCACCACCCGCACTTGCTTCCTGTACTCTTCTTTCCACTCGTCGCTGTGCCAGGGGTACCGCTGCAGCTTGGCGGCGGCCGCCTCGGCCTTGGCCGCCGCGTCGAGCTCGCTGCCGGGGAACTGCTGCTGCTGCTCCGGGGTAGCTCCAGGCAGCTCCTGGGGTCGCTGCCGCTGGGGCCGCTGCCGGACCAGCCCAGGGGTGGGCCGTGGCGAGGGAACGGGGTGCACCAAGGCGCGGCGGGTCAGCGCCGGGGCGGGCTGCAAGGGCGGCGCCGAGCGCCCTCCCGCCCCCGCCTTTGCTGCGCCATTGCCCGGCCTGGACCCGGCTCCGGGGCGGCTGTGGGCCAGCATGGCGGCTGGGATGGGCCGCGAGCGCTCAGAAAGAAGTGTGGGAGGATTCTCTTGCGGGGAGCGCGCGGCAGGAGCGAGCCGCCGCAGTATTGTAGTCGGTCCAAGCGCGCTCAGACGCCCCGCCCGATCTCGAAACAGCTATATGGGGTTGTCCAAGCGGTCAGAAGGCAATGGAACGTGAAAATAATGGCGGCGCAAGCCTCCTACACCAGTGTTTCTGGCCCTCGTGGCAGCTTTGGCGATGGGCGGGCGATGAGGACTGCTGTCGCGTCCAAATTTCGCCAATCAGCTGGCGATGGCACATTGAGGATTGGCGAAATGCGGGGGAGCCACCCTTGCGCCTGGCACAGCGCAGCGGCCACATGCGGCGCCGCTGTTGCTTTGTCGGCACTTGCCTCCCTTTTGGGGGACTGGGGGCGAAGCCCCCAGCAAGCTGGCGCTTGTTTAACACTATGGAGTGAAGTTCCTGAGGAAAATTGGCCATTTCTCCTCAAAATATTGGCGATGTCAGTCATGGGGGCTGGCGACGCGCTGGCGATGTCGCCCCGCCGCCTGCCCTCATTTAGCCAGCCCTGGCTGGCGATGGCCTTCGGCCAATCGCCAGCCAGAGCCGTTTTTTGGCCCGATTTCGCCAGCATTTGGCGATTTCGCCAGCTTTCAGAAACACTGTCCTACACGATTCGGGTGCTCTGTTGGCACCTGCGATGCTCATGCTGCGCTAGCAAAAGAGCCGACTCCAGCTAAGGGACTCGGGGCGCCAGAGGAGTGATTTATTCTGGTTGGCGGCTGGGGATGTGAGCGGGGTGGCAGGGTGGTAGGGTCAAGAGGGTGAGTAGTCTGTGGCGAGCTGCGGGGACCGCCTCACTGAGCCTGCTGAGCGTGGGGCCGGCTGCGACCTCGTAGTTGTCCGACAGGGTTGCTTGCGATGCCTCCCGTCAGTTTGCTGTTGATCAAAGATTAAAGGGACATGCATGGCAAGGCCGCTCTTCGCGTTGCCACTATACTGTTTACACACACTTAGCAGAGCATGGCATGATCCAGAGAGATTACTGGACACAGGTCGCTAGATAGACAGACAGCACGGATGCAGCCGGCAGGCCAGCCGGCATCTTTGCGGGCGACGGTGGGCGGCGCTGCCGACTGCCGCCGCTCGCGTTGGGTGGGGCATCGGTTGCCGCCAGAGATCCCGCCTGCGAGGGCTCACAGCGGCTCCAGCGTCTCAAAGCTGAAGGGAGTGAACTGGTAGCCATCCCTGCGCAACACATTGGCAGAGGGGCGGCGGCAGCCTGTGGTCAGTCGCCTGGGTGCCAGCCCCGCGCCGACAGCCCTGGCTGCTCTCCCCCTGCTGCTGCCCCTCTTGTTAGCAGCGGTGATCAGCAACCCCTAGAGGATCCGGCTGGACGACGGCCTGAGGGCGGGCAGCCGAGGCAGGCAGCGGGTGGGCGGCGAGCTGGCGGGCGGGCAGCCCAGGCAGCCGCCCCTCACCCATGATAGAACTTGTTCTGGAACTCCACCCTGCGCACACACGGGCGGGCAGGGCATGGTGAGGGGAGGGAGAGAGGCAGAGCGGAGGGAGGGAGGCAGAGGCATGCGTGGGGCTCGGCTCGTTGCAGGCGAGCTGCGGGAGAGTCAGCTGCCGCGACTGCTGCTGCCAGGCTGCCGCGATCCAGTCTGCTCTGCCTCGGCTTGAGCAGCCGGCCAGACGAGCGGAGCGCGGGCTGGGCGGGCGGGCGTACAGGCCAGCACGCATGCGCACGCTCACCAGTGAAGACGCAGGGCGTGCAGGAAGGCAGACAGCGACTCCATGACCATGAGCACGCCCAGGGTGGCGCACGCAAACACGAAGAAGGCTGCGGGGAGGCGGCGGCGGGGGTGCGAGGGGCAGGGCGAGGCGGGGTGGGCGAGAGGGCGGCGGCCCGCGGGGCTTGGCAGCGCCGCGGCAGCGTGCCGGCTGCGCCCCAGCATGCACGCCTGCCCGGGCAGTCAGGCCGCTGCCGCCGCCGCCGCCGGGCCCGCCCGCCAGCGCAACCAGGCTGGTCTCACCCACAAAGATGCCCACAGGGGAGCCGCCGCCCTGGATGGAACCCATGAGCAGGCGGTCGTAGAACACAGCCGACAGCTGCAGGCGGGCGGGGCATGGGGGGGGGGGGAGGCAGCGCGCGTGAGCTTGCGGCGTGTGGCGGCGACGGCGGGTGCTGCTGCGCAGGCCGCGCCGCCGCAGGCCGGCTGAGGAGCGAGGGCCGGCCCGCGGGAGGCGGCGGCGGCGGCGGCGGCGGCGCAGGCGCGCGGGCGGCCAGGGGCGTGCCTGTGAGTGTGCCAGGGACAGGGCCCAGAGGCGGAGGTAGGAGGCGGTGTTGGAGACGGCTCCCAGCACAAACTCAATGGTGTGGATCATCTGCGGGGGTGGGGTGGTGGGTGGGCGGGTGCGAGAGTGAGGGCGAGGTCACCGGGGAGACGACAGCGGCGCGGCACAGGCACGTGCGCGCGGCAAGGACCCCGCTGCCACACGCGCCCACGCGCCCCTCACCACCCCGGCCTCCATCCTTGCCCCTTCCCCCGCACCCACCCACCTGGTGCACCATGACTTCCCCAAACTCAAACTCCTCGCCGTGCCCGTCGCCGTGCCCGCCGCCGGCGTGCGCGCCCGACGTCTGCGCGGCGGCGCGGCTGTGCCCCGCCGCCGCCTCCCCGCCCGCCACGCTCTCCTCATCCGAGTAGCGCTGGAAGCGGAACGCGTTCTCCTCGGGGCTCAGCAGGCCGTAGGAGGCGGACTGCGGGGGTGTGAGGTGGCGTGTGGTGTGTGGTGTGGTGTGTGCGTGGAGAGAGGAACAGGCAGGGCAGGGACGGCGCGGCGAGGAGGGCTTTGCGGCAGCGGAGGGGAGGGGCAGGGGGGTGAGGGATGGCGCA